ATCAAAATCACGACACACGGAAGTAATACTAACAAGGCTTAGGACTGGACACACACATTCTACACATTCATTTCTTCTGTCTACCGGTGATCCACCATATTGTGAGAGATGTGGAGAGCCCCTTACGGTTCTCCACATTCTCGTCCAGTGCAATGAGCTAGATGCTGTAAGAAAAAAGCACTTTTTACTGCCCTACCGACAGCAGCTCCCTCTACACCCTGGGATGCTGATCGGTAGGGATCCGCTTTTTAAACTACAAACACTTTTTACATTTTTAAAAGAAGTGCAAAGCTTTCACCCGATATTTCGAGGTCATCCGTAGCCTGACCTCCATGGAGTGGTCGTGGCTGCGGTGACTATATCTTCATCATGGTTTTATTATCATGACATTTTGCCATCAGCTATCACCACACATATGTCACGCCACTGTCATGATTTTATTACTTTCATGTTTTAGCCCGCGTTAGAGCGAGGAATTGTAAGGCCCCTTTACAGCCACGCACCATACCATTGTTCATATCTGTAGTCAATTGAAATGGCGCTCTTTGGCCATCAATTGGCCCTTGCGCCACTAAAAACTACTCATCATCATCATCACCGAGCAAGAACGAGCGGATCTTGAACAACAGAGTGCCATGTACGTGTAGTAAACATTTTAAAAACAAAATGACAACTTCATAGTCCACAAGTTTTAAAATTTATTTAAGCAACTTATCATTACTCAATATGCTTAACAAAAAACAACAACACTAATAACGATATTGCAGACAGTGTGAAATCAGAAAGTTTCAGTTTCAGTTTCGAATGCATCCAAGAGGGGGAAAGCTAGAAATATGATAAGTTTCAGACGGCTAGAGATAAATTCAGTACTTTTATTTCCTAAATACTCTTGAATGGTCAAGGGTTGCGAAAATTTGAATTTGAAAAAATATATTTTTTAGAAAATTCAGTTTTTAAGGTGGCGACCTACCTTAACGCAATAACATATACATTTACAAAAATTACAACACTATCACCTTCCATCCGCATGATTACCATAAGATAGATTGCCAAGGCACGTGGGCTCTGCCAATTTCTTTTTTATTGCAACGCTCACACTCTGCCAATTTTTTTATTGCAACGCTCACACGATTCCTTATTCAAAAGAACAAAAATCACGCAATACAATATTATTTCCGGTAGTATTTATTGAACATTTCTCCATCAAATTAATAAAAATGCGACATTCCTAACTAATACAAAGATAAATATGAAAGTAAACGTATAAAAAAATTGTACAATACGAAAGGGAGTGGTAAAAATAGTTCGAAAAGTCTTGCACGAACACGAATAATTATGGTAATACAATGAATATTTTTAACAATAACAGTTATCTGTGACAGCGAATTACGTGATTAAATCATGACAGAAAATTAATGCTGCGCATAGGTACATACTATCGGAGAACAACGGTGTTGGCTTCCAGGATGTGGCAGCCTTGGGATAGGACGGCCAGCTGGTGCTACACAGACGTCTCTTCATTCAAAGGCACGGCCTTGAGAGTCCTATGCGTACTTGTGTGCATCCTGGTCTCTACGGAACTCCTGTGTTGGCGGCATGATAACCGCCATCGGAGACTCTACGGGTTGGTAGGACGGGTTCTCCAGGCCAGCGTCACTCGGCAGCAAGTGCAGACAGACTGAGCAGCATGAATCACACCGTCTTTCCAGATCCCGTCTGTGCGCAGACGATCAAGTCCCTGCCGGCCAAATCAATCTCGACGGCGTATACTTCTGTACGGGCGTCGGCTTGACATTCTTGGCCCAGCGCAAGGTCTGCAGCAGCTTGTTCCAGAGGCCCATTTCCTCGAAGCCGGTAAACGGAATCCGGAACTGTTGGTCTCCAACTTCCACGGGAATAACATTATGCTTGTGAAAGTGGATGCCGGTGAAGTTGGTCAAGAAGAGGACGTCCTCATGCACGGGGAGAGAGGGTGGCACACAGGGTGCCTCCATTGGCTTGCCGCCGGGGCCCATGCAAGGCAAAGCCTTGTTCGACAGGTCCTTGCGATGTGGCCCTCCTGCTGGCCCATGAAGCAACCAAGGAGCCGGCCGGCCACCCCCGTCTCCGGAGAAGTCTGCACCTCGTCCACCGCAAGCGTCCAGGTTGGGGCAGTCGCGCCTCGTATGCCCGTTCTCTCCGGACCAGAAACATCCCTTGGAGCGCCACTCTTGCTGTGAGTTTGGACACTCCCGACTCATGTGACTGTCGTCTTCACAGCTGAAGCAGCCCCTCTTCAGTCCGTCATCGCAGGAGGTTGTCGGGTGTAATGAAAATTTATTCTATTTCGGTGCCAAGGTTCGTCACGCTTGTTTTTCACGTCGTGCTAGGAGAAATGGACTTTGAGACGACGCGGTAACAACACACGCGACGTTTATGACAGAGCACGAAAGAAAAGCATAGAGCACAAAACCAGAAAATTCATGAAGCCGAATAAGAAACAAAACTGTCTGATCGAATGAGAAAACTACAAAACACTAGTTCAAGGCGGAAAGTTCCAAAACCTCACGATGAGATAGGGGGGCGGACGAACGCCGAGGTGCAGGGCAGCAGGCGCTGACAGTCGATCGGAAGCGGGTTGCGCCTCGATGTGCGACGCTATGGTGACGGTGACGCTTGGGGGAGTGGGGGCGTGGGTGCGGCTACGCAGCAGTCAACCCGCATCGGAGACGCGATGCTCCATGCGGTGAAATGGCCAGCCCGTCAAGCGAAGAGCGTGCGCCGAGACGCGATGCTCGGCGCAACCGTGACCATTAGCCAGGCCACGTTCATCGCTGTGCCGAACGGCTGACCGTGGAGACGCCTCGCCGAGATCCGCGATGCCCTCGGCAAGGAAAAGAACAGCAGGCCAGGCCGCGCCCCGAGATGCAGTACTCGTGCCGGCAACGCCACCTCAGCTGGTAGTTGGACGGCAGTAGCGTGGACAGCCGCGTTCCCTGGCCGGAACCTGGATCGCCTGCGTCCGACGCTTCGGCCCGCTGTCTTCCGTCTGCCGCTGCTTCGGCTCATCCCCAGCCACAAAGCTTACCGCCACGTAATGGTCACACGTGGCCCAATCGTGGCACGCCACCTCTATGGGCCACCACAGGTCATCAGCTGATTGGCTGATCTCACGCGCACAGTTGGCTCAAAATCCCACGCGCATGCCCCGCACTTCCGTCGTTGTCGTCGTTTTCTTCACTCATCACATCGGGATATCTGGACTCATGTGGCCCTCCTCGATCGGCACATTTGACGCTTCCTTCTGCGCCACCCGAGGAATCAGAGTTTGGGCCGCCTCGGCTCATGTGGCCCTTCTGACACCTGGTCGCCTTGTAGTCGAAGCTGTTCCACCTACGACTGACGGTCGCGGCTTCGGCCCGATCCGACTACGGCCGATTGAAGGCCGACCAGGACGCGGACAGGTTTTTTGTTTTGTTTTGTTTCCCTGGAATGAAGGCTCATACCCACTCAGGGGGATTGGCCAAGAAAGTGTAGTGCAGTTTTTCTGTGATCGTTTTAACTATGTGTAATGAATTGGTATTATAATAATACTAATGAAAAAAACATAAAAAGAGCAAAAAAAATCAAGTTGAGTAATTTTGAGATTTGAGGTGTTATGATTACCAGTCAGCTGCGTTTACTTCACTCTGCCCTGGGGAGTAATAAATAATTTTTTTTATTGAAGATCACAAAGGTATACGCTTTGTTGCCTGAATATAATCGCAAACGACATTGAAAGCATCCCTGTGGCAATGTCCCAAAACTGAGGCACCAAAGCTTAGCGCCGTTTCCGCCGTCAATCTAACGCCTATTTTCAGAAATGGCATAACTAGTAACCTTTTTCTAAGTATATCGTAGCGGCGACAATACAAAAAATAATGATCTAGTGATTCCATTTCTCCGCAGAATGCGCAGAGGGGTGATGTTGTCTGACCAGCTCTGTGTAGATACAGGTTTAGGGGGGGGGGACACGACATCGAAATTTAGTAATTAAGACTTCGAGCTTTCTCGACTGACTCCAGTGGGTTTGGCCCTTAGCTTCGTCGTCTTCCTTCTAACTGCCTCGGAGCAGCAAGCACGTGCACCGGTCTTCGTTTTTTTTTCATCCTTGTGCGAAACAATACTACAGTGTCTAGAAGTCTTACTATATAGTCAGCCATACACAAACTCCTAATTATGTCACCCGAAATGAGTAAAGGAGGATATAAGAGTGTTCCTGGCAAAAAGAAAATATAAAATAACTTATACAGCACGAATCTTCTATCGATGTCATCACTTCACAACATTAAATAATAGACGTGTTTTTTTTATGAAATTCCATGTATGTTAAATAGTGCAAGAGGACCATACAACCGAAGGAAGACAAACGCAGGCGCTATATAGAGAAAGAAAAAAGTCAAGAGCGAACACCGCGGCGGCCCATTAGGCCCCAGCACATCTGGTGGTTGGTGAGAACAACTGACCTGTGCTTTCTGTTTCGGTTTTAATGGCGCGAATTTTGGATTACTGTGCGCAACTGATGTTAGGCTATGGCGAAAGTTTATGATTTCAGACACTTTTATCAGCTCAAAAGGCAAGTATTGTCTGCCGTTTTGATTTAGCGATTCTCTAATTTGTCTAGCTCAAAATTCTTCGTGCGAATGAAGTCATGACGCAATTTTTATTTCGACTAAGTTATCTTAGAGATGCAGGTAATCACGTCCTTGGCAGCTGGACGACAACGGCGTCGCCGATGTTTCTAGCGCGTTTCCGCTGCCTTCTTCTGCGGTGGACGACATAGAGCACTTGGAAGCGTTGCTTGCAATCCTTGTCCGCTGTGAAAGGAGTGTGGTGTCGTGGTTACGCTTTCGGAACCAGTTCCCTGGCCCCTTTATGTACGCAAAACACTAAACTCCCTTTATGTACGAAACTCCCTTTATGTACGCAAGCATGGCCCATATATACTAGGGTTCCTCGACACACACGTTACGCCCGCCGCTATGGAGGGTGGAGACAACCGTGTCGTCTGCTACGGAGTTCGCCATTACGATGCCTTTTCCGCAAGCCGCGACGGCCCAGCCAACGAGTGTTGCGCGGCTGCATACACAGTTTGTGTCGTCAAAAAGTGTGTTACTCAAACAACATGAGACAAATACAAAGTTTTTCCACCGGAAGTGAGAAGGTCTTAAATATCTAGCCTCGAGTCTTCATTTTTAAAGTGACATTACCAGCTGGTGTTGCTCGCAGCAGCAAAATACCACCAAAGCAAGCCGCGTTAACACCTTCAATTAGCGTTTTTTGGGCTAGTCGCTAACTATTTATTCTGGTAGAAGATGTGAAACACTCGCACCTAAGTCACACGACCTTTCAATGTGTCTATGAGTTGTGTGCATTCCACAAAAGTGTAAAAACAGGATCCCATTTGAAAGCTGGCTGAAAAAAAAAACAATAAAAAATACGTGATAGCGATAGAAAAGAGAAAAATCACAGCATATCCACGGAGTAAATGATGATGTGTGGGGCAAAGTATTTATCCGTGCTTCCGTCCGTGCTGTTGTCCGTGCGTCTGTTCAGGCGTCTGTCCATCCGTACGTCCATTGATACGTTCGTCCGTCCAGCGTATCCACGGAGCACAGCATAGCACGGACGAACGAAGTCTTCGTTACACTCATTATCATTCATGACGAGTAGGGCTAAGCGTACGTCCGTCCGTCTGTGCTTGCTTCCGTGCCTTTGTCCGTCCATTTGTGTGTCACTGAAACTAGCGCCACATGCTGAGTGAGTCATGCGACTAGGTGGTCACGAACCAGTTAAAGACATGGATGGACAAACCCACGGCTTTAAATATTCGCAACTAAAACTGTGATTGCGTACCATATTGTTACGGGAGGGTACACAGAGAAACGAGGTTACAGCTAAGATATGTTTCGCCAAGCCTAAGCCGAGATGGCAAGCCAGAGCGTGCCCCACATCCCAGATTCACGTCGTCTTTCTCGCTGTCTGTCTTGATTCTTCAGCATGATGTAGTCTCGTAACATGACCCCCGGGTGCAGAAGCACCATGTCGGTGCTTTCTATGATGTTGCGGAGTGGTAGAGCTTAAGTTGGGAGGCATGAACAATGTCTGTAGACATTGGGGATGACGACTTCAGCGGGGCTATCTCGTAGGTAACATCGGTCGCCTGGCGCAAGACGCGGTAGGGTCCTGAGTACCGGGAAAGCAGCTTCTCAGGGAGACCAACATGCCGAGTCGGTGTCCACAACAACACAAGGGAACCCGGGGCAAAGGAGACGTCACGTTGCTTCCCTTGCTCTTTCGATGCTAAGAGGCGCTTCCGAGCGACTTCTCGTGCTTTGTGAGCGCTGGGGATAGTGTCACGGGCGTATTCAGTCGGCGAATCGACAGCTGTCGGAAAGATGGTGTCGAAAGGTAAAGTTGGGTCGCGGCTAAATAAGAGGTAGAATGGTGAAAACCCAGCGGTATCGTGGCGTGAGGAATTGTATGCAAGTGTGACAAATGGCAATGCAACGTCCCAGTCTAGGTGGTCAGAGGAGACGTACATGGAGAGCATGTCAGTTAAAGTCCGGTTGAATCGTTCGGTAAGCCCATTAGCTTGTGGATGGTAGGCCGTCGTAAATTTATGTTTGGTTTCGCAAGAGCGAAGCAGGTCGTCAATAACTCGGAAGAGGAAATAGCATCCACGATCTGTGAGGAGTTGGCAAAGAGCACCATTATTCAGCGTGATGTAGTCTGGTAACAACATCTTCATATATTGTTTTTGAGTTCTTCAATAGCTACCTTATATACAGATCTTAGCCTGCAACGCACAGTATATTGTACGTTGTTCTCGCCATCCACATACACTTAAGTTCTCGCCATCCTGAATATACTCCTTCAGTGAGGGTAAATCTGCGTGTTCATGGCTCGCCGAGCCCTTCATTGCAGCCCTGCACTGCCCACAATTTCTTTTCTTCAAGATTCTTTATACAAGAAATCCACCTATATGGTGCAAAATGCTGCATTCTATTGAAGTAAACGCTTTGATGAAAAAGTTTTCCTTATCATCAATTTCCTCGTCAGCATCTCCACGACACTCTATATTTCTTTGAGAAATCACGTCAACCAGGTAGTGAGACATCATTTTCATAACTATATAGCGTTCACCGGTATGTAGAAAATTGGCTGGCGCATACAAGCTTTAAAGCGCCAGATCATGTCGTAGACGTTAGGAACTGGCGCACGGACGGCTGCACAGACGGACCGACGCGTGGACGAACGCATGGACGGACAAATGGACCGACGCACAGACGCACGAATGGAAACATGAATGCACAGACGCATGGATGGACGCATGGACGGACAGACTCACAGACGGATGGACGAAAGCACGAACTAACGCAGGGACGGACGTGCGCACGGGCGGACGGATGGACGCCGTGAGCACGGACGGAGTGACGGCTGCTTCACCCCACTCATCATTATTTACTCCGTAGATATGCTGTGACATCGTTTCAATTGACATGCAATGCAATGCAACTGGCTACTACGACTGCGACGACTACGACGACACGCGATATACGACCCATGGCGCAAAGAACTTCGCCCCTAAAAGAAATAGTTGAAGGCACCGGCAGCAACAAGCGAACAACCTAGGCGCACATCTTCGCGCTATTATTTGCAGCTTGTGCAGAAGAAGCGATTGAGAACAACGTGTTTTGTGCGATCCAAAAAGAACGAGTTAAATACGCATGTACACAGCATGCAAATCAACGTGTATTGCACCCGGTGCCCTGGTGATCGCAATTAAGCCCGATTGGCGCTGTTCTGCAGCTGCTGTAAGGAAGTTTATCACATCAAGTTTTATCGCAATTCAGAGTGCCCGTGTGACAGTGCTTTAAGCTTTAACTCTCGAAATGCTGAAATGGCATAAATTACGCTGCACAAACACGAACGCTCCGTGGGATGCGACTTCACGCGCTTGATTTTTGCAAGCCACAAGACTCCCTTTTTTGGATCTTTCGGGACTCTGAACATCCATTAGTCACTTCACGAATGGTTTGTGCACTGTGACACGCAACAACCTGGCATTTTGTGCGAGAAAACGCCGCACACGTGTCTCACTCAACCAGCCATGACGAGACGGGAGAGCCTAACGGCGTCCGCCGATCAGAAGGCGGCCCTCACCATCACCACTTCAAAGAGTGGCTCCTCCCTCCAAGGGGGTGCGCATATCAAGGAACCCTAATATATACATATGTAAAACGCCCCTGTGGGCCAGGGAACTGGTTCCGAAACCGAAACCGAAACCACGACACCACACTCCTTTCACAGCGGGCAAGGATTGCAAGCAACGCTTTCAAGTGCTCTATGTCGTCCACCGTAGAAGAAGGCAGCGGAAACGCGCTACAGAAACATCGGCGACGCCGTTGGCGTCTTGCTGCCAAGGACGTGATTACCTGCATTTCTATGATAACTTAGGCGGAATAAAAATGCCGTCATGACTTCATTCGCACGAGGAATTTTGAGCTAAACAAATTAGAGAATGGCCAAATCAAAACAACAAACAATACTTGCCTTTTGAGCTAAGAAAAGTGTCTGAAATTATAAACTTTCGCCATAGCCTAACATCAGTTGCGCACAGTAATCCAAATTCGCGCCATTAAAACCGAAACAGAAAGCACAGGTCAGTTGTTCTCACCAACCACCAGATGTGCTGGGGCCTAATGGGCCGCCGCGGTGTTCGCTCTTGACTTTTTTCTTTCTCTATATAGCGCCTGCGTTTGTCTTCCTTCGGTTGTATGGTCCTCTTGCACTATTTACAATACATGGAATTTTATATAAAGAAGACGTCCTAATATTTAATGTTTTTAAGTGATGAACATCGATAGAAGGTTTCTGCTGTATAAGTTATTTGATATTTCCTTTTTGCCAGGAACACTCTTATATATTCCTTTACTAATGTCAGGTGACATAATTTGGAGTTTGTGTATGGCTGACTATATAGTAAGACTTCTACACACTGTTGAATATTGTTTCACACAAGGATGAAAAAAAAAACGAAGACCGGTGCATGTGCTTGCTGTTCCGAGGCAGTTAGAAGGAAGACGACGAAGCTAACAACATCTTCATATATTGTTTTTGAGTTCTTCAATAGCTACCTTATATACAGATCTTAGCCTGCAACGCACAGTATATTGTACGTTGTTCTCGCCATCCACATACACTTAAGTTCTCGCCATCCTGAATATACTCCTTCAGTGAGGGTAAATCTGCGTGTTCATGGCTCGCCGAGCCCTTCATTGCAGCCCTGCACTGCCCACAATTTCTTTGTTGTATTTGTTTTGTTGTATTTCTCAGCGTCTCTCCGACGCTTGCTTGCTCTGGGGGTTTGGCTGAAATCTGAGTAGCCTCTACTGAATTTCTTCTTGGATAGGCGTATCTAAAGCCTTAGCATTGATTAGCTAGTACCCTTCTGGCTAGTCAATCCAGACAGATGCCGCTTTCTTCGCCTGGACCAGGGACTTATCTCTGGTCTGCTTCTCTTTCACCGCAGGAGCTACCAGTGGACCAGTTCCTACGCAATGGCGTCGCTTCCGTTCCTGTGGCCCTAGTCCCAAGCAACGACGGAGTCATTAAGATGAAAAACCCTAAAGTGATCCAGTCGGAACTCAAAGCAGCGACAACTCACTATCACACCATCACAGAGGTCCGGCAGTTTGGCAAGGGAGGCATTGTCTGCTTTTCTCCTGACCAGCTCTGTGTCAAAGACTTACTTAAATGCTCGATGTTCGCTACCAATCCGGTGAGCGCCTTCATTCCTCCTCACCTAGCATGCGTCAGAGGTATTGTCCGAGGCGTAGACATCAACATGACTCCAGCTGAGGTCCTAGAGATGTTCTCTGAAGCAGGTGCTATTGCAGTTTATAGATGCTCACGAGTTGTAGAACAGACAAAGATCCCTACTGAGTCTGTAATTGTCACATTTGCCGGGTCGATTCGCCCCACTGAAATCAAGGCGTGGCCTTTAATATTCAGAGTCGAACAACTGTCACCTCGTCCCCTCCAGTGTCAGAAATGTTGGCGCTATGGACACACTTTAAAAGGATGTAGGTCAGCTCCCAGATGCCGAAAATGTGGTGAGGCACATACTGCAAATGAATGCAATTGTACTGAAGAAAAGTGTTGTCTTTGTCATGAGCAGCACTGCGCAGATAACGCTAATTGCTCAGCCAAAGCGCGGGAGACTCAAATTATGGAAATTGTTGATCGCAGACGCTGTTCACGAAAAGACGCCATCGCTGAAATTCAGGCAAGAACCCAGGGATATGCTGGTGTTGCAGCCCGACATAATGCAACTTTAGAAGCTTCTCTTTCAGTGTCCATTGCAGACATGATTGAAAAAGCGATGGAGAAAGCTATAGATCGCCTGGCCACCACCCTTTGTGACTCCTTATCTCATATTGTAGCCACTCAGTTGCCGCAAATATATGGGACACCAAGAGATATGAAGGATACTTCCCAAGACAACGTAACTCTCCCACCAAGTGAAGCAGACGCAGAGTCATCTCCTTCAGGGGTACAGGCTGCAGGGCCCTCTTGTACAGACAACCAGAGGATAGGTGAAGACATACTAGAGGATGGTCAGGATTATGATGATATGGACATGGACATCAAATCCCTAAAGCGCACTCGATCCCCTGTCTCCAAAAATACTGGCTCTTCAAAACATTCAAAAAACAAAAAATACCAGAAGGAGAACCTATCGAAGAGCGATTTTCTTAAAGACAGCATTTTAGATAAGGTAGTTGCCGAAACAATTCTGTCAAAATGATAGGTTCTATCAAAATTCTTCATTGGAACTGTCGATCTATTCATTCAGCTAGTACAGATTTATTGTATTTATCTTGTAAATTCAATCCAGACATTATTGCACTGCAAGAAACGTGGCTGTCAGCACATAATTCGTTTTACCTACCTAATTTCCGGTCTTTTCGCCTGGATCGCCCATCCAAAGGTGGAGGTTTAGCGTTCTTTGTCAATAATAAAATTAGTTCAAAGATCAAAACTTCGTACAAAAGTATATCCCCCGAATGTGAAATTTTCGCTTTAGACATCACCTTGCCTGGATGCTCTCCCTTCTCTCTGGTAAATCTTTACTTTCCTCTGGGTGTACAAGACACGCGATGTTTAGACATGGCTGTTAATTCGTGGTGCACAGAAAAAATTATGGTTGGAGATTTTAATTCTCACCACACTAGTTGGGGTTTTAGGACTGATCAATGTGGACAACGCTTGTGGGACTGGTCTATAGACCATAATTTATCATGCCTCAACGCTAGAACTCCCACATTTATCCGAGACCGATCCCGCTCTGCCTTAGATTTGAGTTTTATAAGCTCGGGTATTTCTAGCGTATCTTGGACTACTCTAGACTGCGCCACCAACAGTGACCACTTACCAGTACTGTTTGAAATTTCTTGCCCCATTATTCCATCTTACTCCCAAGCTCGAACCTTTATCAATTATTCCAAATTTAAAAATGACCTAGAAGTTGCTTTGACTACCCCCACTGAAGACAACGATGAAAATAAAGCCATGAAATTAAGTGCGGTAATTAAAAGAACGTTCAAAAAAGCAGAATTTTCTATTGAGTCTGATACGAGAAAGCCTTGTAGTCAGTGGTGGAATTCTGAGTGCTCTCGTGATCATAGACGACGACAAGCGGCTTGGAAGCAGCTAATTCATAATCAGTCCCCCAAAAATTGGGCAGATTACAAGTTTATTGCTGCTACATTTAAGCGCACCGTGGCTAAAGCTAAAGAAGACTATGACAAAAAACATTTCGACTTTCTTTCAAAACCTAGAAATAAGAAAGCGTTATTCCGATATATGAGATCGCGCAAAATTCTGCCGTCTCTAGCTAACTCTGATTATGACAGGTTATCGACGGAAGAAATGACTAATTCGTTAGAGGCAATCGGAAGAGGTTTAGCTAACAGATTTTCGTCGACTTTGACAATCAACTGGCAAAAGTCCTCTATAAAGACTGACTACGAAAAAGTGACATTGTCCGAAATGTCAAGCGTAATTAGAAACTTACCCTCTTCGGCTCCTGGTCCTGACGGTATAACAGTTCCTATGATTAAAATTTTATTCCAGATATCACCCGGCGACGTCCTCAACCTTATAAACTATTCCTTAAGCAATGCCTGGATACCACATGACTGGAAAATAGCTAGAGTGATTCCCATATTAAAAAAACAAGGGTCAGGTTTTAACATTGACAACATCAGACCAATCTCTCTAACATCTCACCTGATCAAAATTATAGAGAGAGTTCTCAATAATAGAATAAAAGTTTGGATGGCTGACAAGCTAATATTGAAACCATTTCAAATAGGTTTTCGTAGCGAATGCTCAATTTGGTGTGCTCATGCCGACTTAGAGAGCCGAATACAGCTTGCCCGAAAAAGACGACAATACGCGGTACTAGTAACACTAGACATAGCTAAAGCTTATGATAGCGTTGAGCACTCAATTTTATTGAATTCTTTACACGAATGTGACTTTCCGCGATATATTGTTGATTGGGTAGCAGAGTTTCTAAAATCGAGAGAATTTTATTGTGCAAAGGATGGATGTCACTCATCTAAATTCAAACAGCAACGTGGAGTACCTCAAGGGGCGGTCCTATCTCCGCTGTTATTCAATGTGTTGATGAGCTCAATTCCCATTGAACGAGATATCACTGTCTACATTTATGCAGACGACATTGCATTTTTCGTTGCAGACAGTGACATTTATTCTTTGCATCAAAAATTGCAAAAGTACATGTATTCTCTTGAAATTTGGCTGCATTCAATTTCATTGTCTCTAAACATCAGTAAAAGTGCGCTCCTGGTGTTCCCTATAGCAGATTCTATTCAAATTTCAGTACTTTATAATCAGGAACCGATTCCACAAGTAGAGTCTATCAAATATTTGGGCATTATTTATAACGAGAAACTTAACTGGAGCCCTCACATAGACTATATCGTGGCAAAGGCACAACGAGCTTCAGGCTTATTGCGAAGGTTGAGCAACAGAAAATATGGGTTACGTAGACACACCTTATTAATGATATATAAAATGTACATGCGCCCAATACTCGAATTTGGGTGTATATTATTTTCGGGTGGCCCTACGTACAAAATTAAACCGTTAGTTCTATTAGAGCGAGAAGCGTTACGGTTGTGTTTGCGACTCCCCAGGTATGTCGCTATTAATGTACTATATCAGGAAGCTCGCATACCAACTATTCTTTGCCGATTCCGTATCTTAACAGTACAAACATACTTGAAATTTTACGGCTTATCAGCGAGACGGTCTGCATATGCCTTTATTAGTGACCCCGACGCCTTCTTCCTCGCTCACTGGCCACGCTTTCGTACTCCCCAGATTATTTTTGTACAAAAGAAACTTGAAAGCATAAAGGTGGATATCAGATCGGTAATTGGAACCAAAGCATTAAATCACAATATTACGATAGAATGTGATGAAATTTTTCCCCCACTATCTAAGTTTCAATCTTCGAGTTACTTAAATGACAGGTTAGAAGACTACATAGCTCATGCGGAAATAAAGAACATAATAGCCACAGACGCTTCTGTGAATAAAGAAAAGGCAGCAGTAGGAATCGTCTCAGATTACCTCGGTTGGTCATTCTCGGTAAGACTACCAGACTTCACTCCGGTTTTCGAAGCTGAGCTCCTGGCTATTATTTTAGCGCTACGAAAACTTCCTTCAAACGAAGAGAGTGCAATGATAATTACTGATTCTCTTTCGCTGTGTACTACTCTCACAGCTTCAGAACAATCAAGAGCTCTAGCGACATTACAAACATTAGTTCCACCTCATGTGAAGTTCCTGAAGTTAGTCTGGGTCCCGGGACACTGTGGCATACGGTTGAATGAAATAGCCGATTCACTATCTCGAGCCACACTTGATGGCCCTGTGATCTCGGTACTACCAGAATCGGAACACATAGTGTCGATCAGATATAGAAAATGGGCTATTTATACGGATATTATGGAAAATATTACTAAATATACGGACTATCAGCACCTAACATACCCCTGGAAACCTCAGTGGAGTCAATCTAAAAAGTTAGAAGTTATTTTAACCAAATTTCGATGTCGTGTCCCTCCATTAAACTTTTACTTGCACAGAGCTGGTCTGGCGATATCCCCCCTGTGTCCATTCTGTGAAGAAACGGAAACAATAGAGCATTACTTTATAACATGTAAAAACTATTCATTAATTAGGAAAAGACTTTTAATTGTTCCGTTTCAAGCAGTAGGTTTAAATTTAACTGCAGATAATGTTCTAAGTTTTGGTGCCTTTAGCTTGGGACATTGCCACAGGAGCGTATTCGATGCTGTATGCAATTTCATTCGAGAATCAAAGCGCATGTCATAATAATGCCTGCTTAAATATATTTCTGACGACACTTGTCTAATTTTGAATGAAATTTGCATATTCATTTGATTGTGACCGGGTGAGATAAGCTCGATTGTCTGGTCTACTCAAAATTTCTGTCTTCCACTGTAGTATTACCTCACCTTTTCTCTTCTTGATTCAATCTTCAATTATTTGTTTAGTTTAATATTCCTTTTTAGTTAATTATTATTTTCTATTACATCATTAGTTTTTTTCATTAAGGATAAACCTTTTAATATATCTCATTTAGGATACTTCTAGATTTCATGGCCAATCCCCCATAGTGGGTATGTGCCAGTGCGAAGGGGCAACAACAACAACAACAAAAACCTGTCTGCGTCCTGGTCGGCCTTCAATCAGCCATTGTCGGATTGGGCCGAAGCAGCGACCGTCAGTCGTGGGTGGAGCAGCTTCGACTACAAGGCGACCAGGTGTCAGAAGGGCCATATGAGCCGAGACTGCCCAAACCCCGATTCCTCAGGTGGTGCAGAAGGAAGCGTCAAATGTGGCAATAGAGGAGACCCACGTGAGTCCAGAGATCCCGACAACTTCCTGCTATAACCAACTGAAGAGGGGCTGCTTCAGCTGTGGAGACGACGGTCACACGAGTCGGGAGTGTCCAACCCCCCCCCCCTCCCCGCAGGAGTGGCGCTCCAAGGGATGTTTCTGGTCCGGAGAGAACGGGCATACGAGGCGCGACTGTCCCGACCTGGACGCTTGCGGCGGACGAGGTGGAGACTTCTCCGGAGACGGGGGTGGCCGGCCGGCTCCTTGGTTTCTTCATTTGCCAGCAGGAGGGCCACATCGCAAGGACAGGTCCAACGAAGCTGTGCCTCGCAAGGGCCCCGGCAGCAAGCCAATGGAGGCACCCTATGTACCACCCTCTCTCCCCGCGGATGAGGACATCCTCTTTTTGACCAACTCCACCGGCATCAACTTCGGCAAGTACGATGCCATTTCCGTGGAAGGTGGGGGCCCAGAGTTCGGGATTCCGTTTACCAGCTTCGAGGAAATGGGCCTCTGGAACAACCTGCTGCAAACCTTGCGCTGCGCCAAGTATGTCAAGCCGACGCCCGTACAGAAGTACGCCGTCGAGATTGCTTTGGCCGGCAGACACCTGATCGCCTGCGCACTGACGGGATCTGGAAAGACGGTGTTATTCATGCTGCTCATTATGTCTGCACTTGCTGCTGAGTGACGCTGGCATGGAGAACCCGTCCTACCAGCCCGTACAGTCTCCGATGGCGGTGATCAGGTTGGCAACAAAGGAGTTCCAGAAAGGCCAGGATGCACACAAGTACGCCTAGGATTCTCAAGGCCGTGCCTTTGAATGAAGGGACGGCAGTGTAGCACCAGCTGGCCGTCCTATCCCGAGGCTGCCGCATCCTGGAAGCCAACACCGATGATCGCCGACATCGTGTACCTATGCGCAACAATATTATGTTTCTGTTATAATTTAATCACGTAATTCGTCGTTACTCATAACCGTCATTGTTAAAAATATTTAATCTATTACCATAATTATTCGTGTTCGTGCAAGACTGTTCGAACTATTTTTGCCACCCCTTTTCGTATTGTACATGTTTTTTTACGTTTCCTTTCCTATTTATGTTTGTATTAGTTATGAATGTCGCATTTTTATTGATTTCATGGAGAAATGGGCAATAAATACTACCGGAAATATTTGAGTATTGCGTGACTTTTTTTTGAATAAAGAATCATGAGAGCGTTGCAATAAAAAAGAAATCGGCAGATCCCACGTGCCTTGGGAATCATTCTTATGCTAATGATGTGGATGGAAGGTGACCGTGCTGTAATTTTTGTAAATGTATATGTTATTAGGTTAAGGTAGGTCGCCACCTTAAAAACCGAATTTTCTAAAAAATATATTTTTTCGAATTCAAATTTTTGCAAACCTTGACCATTCAAGAGTATTGAGGAAATAAAAGTGCTGAAATTATCTTGAGCCGTCTGAAACTTACGATAATATTTCTAGCTTTCCCCCCTCTTGGATGCATTCGAAACCGATGCTGAAACTTCCGATTCCACAACGTTTGCAATATCGTCGTTAGTGTTTTTAGGCATATTACGTAATGCTAAGTTGCTTAAGTAAATTCTAAAATTTGTGGGGTATGGTGCTTTGTTTTTAAAATGTCTACTACACGTAAACGGCACTCTGTTCTGTGTTTCACCAGCCCTCTTATTTTTTTCTTTTTTAGAGTGAGGATGAAAGGTGACCTTATGTTCGTATTCATGGAAGCAATCTTTTGCGAAGTTCCTTTTTCTAACTCTCCGGTTTGTTAAAGAACTTTCTTGTGTAGTGGGGTGGGGTCAACTGGTCGATCTGACCTTCCTGATCAACGAGCCGAGGACACTCCACACCATATAAAATTTACCTCAGGGTTTTGTGTCGGCTGGTTGGTTTAGGAGTAAGATTCTCGTTAAGGGTGCGAGAGGGTCTCCCTAAATGGGAGCTCGCAAGTCGTTTAAGTGCGTTTCTTTCGGTAAAAAAATGACTATAAAACGAACTACTTCTCCAATTAGTTAGTGACATGATTTCTGCTGCCGCGTGAAAAAATAATGGTTTTCTATGATGTGTCATAAGACGGGGCTGGGTGATACGATGTCAGATTTTATTGTTACGCCATGTTCACCACAAAATTGAACCAGGAAAGTGTTTTGGTATGAGGTAATAATTGCTAATCGGTTCCTGAAAGTGCTCTTCTCATTACGATATTCGTCTCTGTCACAAAAAAAGCGATTGTACAGAGGCTTGGTTGATGTTATGTGTTCACGTCAATGATACCGGCCGATATTTGTATTGTGGAATGAAAAGAATGTTTTAAAGAGCGTAAAAAGAGTGCCGATGAATTCTACCATAAAAAAGTGTTCTTTCTCGCAGCGCACGGGCAGGCTTCCTGTCAAACTGTGGCTAAAGAGAAGCGAATATATCTGCTTGGGGGCGTATCTGCTACATTAGCCAAAAACCGGGAAGAGCGCTGAACACGTTTCCTGGAGGAACACAGCTGAACACATTTTCTTTGGGGAAAGAGTTTTGGCAGATGTGATGTGAATCAGCTTATGGCGTAGTTCGATCCAGTGTAGTGCGGCGTCATCACCCCTACTGCGCATGTGCGAAAGCTGGCCAAAGGACTGCATGTGCGCGTTCACGCGCTAGCACGTTCGAGCCTGTGTAAGAGGGCTCGGTGAGACGCTGTGGCCTTTCTCCTTGACGCTCCCCTGGTAATCATGCGATGGCGTCAGGAAACGAGATTCTGCAGACGCGCAATGAACCAACGCGTAACTGTTCTCTGCACCATTCAAATTAATCAGTCTCACCAAATCTACAAACCCCCTGACAAAGCAGCCATCGACTAAATGAAGAGTTCAGCATAGAAAGAGGTATGTGGGATGCTCCAGGGAAGTTGTTTATAGTACCCCCCTTTCCTGCGGTGCTTGTTACGTCGGAACGACCGGACGGTGTCTGAACGACCGACTGAGAGAACACGCTAACAATGTTAGAAACCGGATAGATGGCTTTCTCGCTCAGCACTGCCCTCATTGCAACTGTGTGCCCCTTTTCAAGGACACAGAGACGCTCTACAAGCACAGGGATGACCATACCCGAGTCATCGTCGAGGACGCGCAGATGGCACGCGAACAGGTGTCATGCATTAGCAAGCCCTCCGTGTCTCTGTCCAAGAAGGAACTAAGGTTCTTCGAAAGTTTCGGTGCTCGCAAGTAGTTATTTTACTTTTACTTTTCTTTTCGTTTCTTTATAGACTTTACTTCGCCCTTCCTGTGCTTTTGTTTTTCCTTTACCCATGTATTGCTCTTTGTGCCACATGGTTTTTGTCACATGGTTTACTGTCTCCTCTATATGTATTCGCGCTCTGCGCAATAAACTCAGTTGGAAGTTAGCACTCGTGTCGTTCGTGTCCTTTTTGTCTATTTGTCGTCATTCTGTTCTCACGCTATAACTATCGTCATGTCATACCAACTAGACCAAGCTGCCACAGTTCCAGAATGGGTTTCGGAAACGCAGGAAGTTAGAAGACAATCTGTTTTTACTGACGCAACGCATCGAAATAGCAGAAAAGGAACACAGGCCTATGAGGCTAGCATTTTTGGATATCCAGGAAGCGTACGATAGCGTGGTTCAAGAGGACTAGTGGGGAATACTGGACACACTAGGTGTGGAAGATGGAGTCCCTAATCTTTTAAAGGATATCTATAAAAGTAACAAGGTAGTTATAAAATGAGAAAATCAGGTATCCACGCCCATAGAGATAAAAGGGGGGCTTAGGCAGGGGTGTCCCCTCTAACCCTTGTTATTCATGATGTACCTACAAGGTTAGAGGCCAAATTATAGGGGAGTGGACTTGGCTTCAACTTATCAAACACGGAAACCTCATTGAACAGGCACTACCAACATTGATGTACGCAGATGATATAGTGCTAATGGCTGACAACAATGAAGATTTCCAAACATTGGTGGACAAATGTGGCAATGAGGGAGATAGGTTATTAGGTTTTAGATTCAGTAAGAAAAAATCAGCAGTCACGAGAGAGAAACGAGAAAAAAGGAAGGCAGGGAGGTTAACCAGATGCTAGTACCCGTTATGCTACCCTACACTGGGGTTGGGGAATAGGGGGTTGAAAGAGAAACGGAGAGTTAAAAAATAAATAAGAGAAAAGCACCGACACACACGCACACACAAAATCAGTCCACTCAGAGGCGTTCCGACAGGCCAGTAGTTCGCAAAAAGCCCAGTAGCACTTGCACGGCTTTCTTCTGTGACGATGAGTCATGACGATGGCGCAGTATACTTTCTTCTGACAGCGGCTGGTCATCTAACCTGTTTAGTTTATTGGAAAGCTGTTGTCTTTCCAGGTTGTATTTCAGGCAGTCACACAGAATATGTCGAATGGTATCTTCATCTCCGCAGTGTGCACAGTCGGCGGTGTCGGCCATACCTATGCGGAACGCACACGCACGGGTAAACGCGACTCCCAACCATAGTCTGCACAGAGCAGTAGCGTCACCTCGTCGAATTTTTGTTAGAAGCTGTATGCTTAACGTTGGATCAAGGGATCGTAATCTTGCATGTGTAAAAAGAGGCTCACTCCAAAGAGCCATGGAGCGTTGGCGAGCGAGCATGCGGAGCCTCCTAGCAGCGTCCGTCCTTGAGAGAGGTATTGACTGGTTGTTGTCTTCTGTATGGGCGGAACGGGCAGCTTGATCAGCTCGTTCGTTACCGATAATTCCACAGTGGCTTGGCAACCACGGAAATATAACGGTGTGCCTTTTCTCTGTTATATGGTGTAGTATTTCTGCTGTTTGAAATACCAACGGCTCGTGTGGACCACGGCGTAGATTTGACAGAAGTGACTGCAGTGCCGCCTTGCAGTCGCAGAAAATCGTCCACTGTTGCGTGCTTTGGTCGTTAATGAAACGCAGCGCAAAGCACTGCAAACTCCGCTGCCGTTGTTCTGGTTGCATGAGCTGTCTTGAATTTGATGGTTGTGGCGTCGGTGTAGACGTGGGAGCAGTCTTGGTACTTCTCGTACAGCAGAAGTAAGGCCAGCTGCTTGAGAGCTGGTATTGAGCAATCTCGTTTTTTCTGGATGCCTGGTATTGTCAGGTTGATGACTGGTTGTATGAGGCACCATGGAGGAACTGAAGGTCTCGCCGCGGGCGTGAAACCAGTTGGTAGAGAGTCACCATGTGCAGTTATTGTTCGACAAAAGGAAGTATGAGGTCTATCCGCTGGTAGAGAGGCTAGGTGGTGATGGGGAGTCCGGCCCACATGCCTTATGAGTATCCTCAAAGCTTCAATTTCAATATGGGTCTGCACGAGGTGGTCTTTGGCTATAGCTATAGTCGCCATCGTTGAGGCACCCTGAGGCAGACCTAGACATATTCGAAGCGCCTGTGCCTGAACGCTTTGTATCATGCGTCGACTTGTTTTGCTGGCGTTTGATACTGCAGGCAGACTGTATCGTAAAAAGCCAAGAAAAAGCACCCTGTACAGTCGTAACATAGCATTAGGCTGCATTCCCCAAGTCTTTCCAGCGAGAAACTTGAAAAGATGGCATATGCCTGTCAACCGCTTTTTCAAATACTACGACACATGAGGGCTCCATGATATGTCTCTGTCGACTATGACACCCAGAAATTTGTGAGATCAACGATAT